CAGAAGTTTTGAGAAGTCTGACCATCGGGCCGGCGGTCGTCCAGGTGTTCGTTTGACGTCCCGAGGGATCCAGTCGGTAACCGCTCTGGTCCAACGGTCATCGCAAAATCGCATGACGTGTCCGGCCCACCTTATCTTCGATTCCTTGGCGAAAACGGCAGCGTCCCTGATCTTCGATCGTTGGCGTAGTTCGTACTAAATAATGATGGGCCACCCTGGCCCACAACACCAGTTTTATCCCCTAACCAGAGCATTATCATAATATTCGTCATGTCTGGACGGAATTCAGTGTTGTATACTACAAAACTGGAACAACCACAACCACACTGTTGCCTCTCAAATAATGCAGTTCGTCTCTATTTGTAAGGGTCAAAACAGCTTTAGTGTAGCGGGAGTGTTCGGAGCGATATGAGACTTCCGAGACTTTTTGAAAGCGCAAAGGGTTCTGAAGGTTTATGGTGAACCACTGCTTCAAATGGATCCCATGTGCTTAGTCTTGCTTCTGGAGCCCCGCGAGAAGAATGTTAGATAGTTGAGTATTAGATTCCGATAGCCTCTGTCTTCATCGCTTTTGAACAGAGACTATTCTAGTCCTCAAAATCGAAGATGCTCTGCATCTTGATATGGGATAACTCGAAGAACTATTAGTACTCTTGGGGCCGTTTGAGTTTTGCCAAAACTGTCGAGGTATTCTACGTGTTTTGTTAATTAAAGGCACAACCCAGGCAGAGGTTTTGTGTGAACTCTTCTCTTCGGTCAGAAGTATAGAACCCTAGGGGACAATCACAAATGTGGCGTTCACGTGCACGGAATTCGACCGACAAGAACGCTTTGGGCTTGCAAAGTAAGCTGCTCGAGCTGCAGCGAACGAGCTCTCTTATCAGGCCGTTGTCTGGTGCTCTCTCATCTGATGCGCTCTCTCGCCCCATACTCTCCTCTTCGCGCTTAGTCTCTCGTTCCTTTAGCACAGCCAATTAGGAAGGTGAGTGAGCCCTCAACCTGAGCGTTTTCGACGGATTCTTTTCCTTTTTTCTTCACTGCCGGCCCACTTGGCACCGATACATTCACATTCGTGTGCAAGAGCCACACACCAGTGCGATCCTGGGGCATGCCTTTTTAAATCTTCATTCAACGTCTCATGCGCGAGCATTGAAGTCTTGCCAAATTCTACACACAATATTTGAACAACTGTCATGGTTTTTTACTTAATCTCTTAATTTCCAGAAGAAACATTAAGAGCAATATCGCTAGAACCAGCAGTACCTCTTTTTAGGTTGAAGATTCTTTTGATCGTGAATTTTCCAATGTGCCATCGCGACTCGGTGAGGTGAAGGCCATGATTACTTGCGACATGCTTTGAAGCGGTTTTTAAACGAAGAAAAGCCAACGCAGATCTTCGACAAGCATTTTTTTTACTAAACTGTGCCCTACAAAAACAGCTGACCTTTCGTTGGCAATTTGCCATATGAATCACAAACGTTTTTTTTTCGCAACAGCTGTCAATCTGACACGTCGGAGTTCTTTTCATAAGGGCAACACTGTCGCTATCTTGCAGACACGGCCAGCAAGGCAATTTTCTTGCCTCATAGTCGCAACTGCCATTGTCCACATCGCATTTCTATAGTCCATGGGGTGTGAATATTGAGATCGCCATCAACTGCTTGATTTTTTTTTTTTTTTTTTTTTTTTTTTTTTTTTTTTTTTTTTTTTTTTTTTTTTTTTTTTTTTTTTTTTTTTTTTTTACGGTGTGACGATTCTGGGCATCTGCTAATAGCTGACGCCAAAACTTACACGCTGAAGGTAAGAATTGCCAGCTTCGTTAGTGGACTTATTTAGTGAATTTTATTCAAGAAAAGACAAGGATTTTCAGTTGTTTACGACCTCTGGCCAAATGCTGAAGTGCGCTCGCATTGCCAATGGTGCTAGCTTTCCGTATTGTTCGGCATTCGGTGTGTCACCATCTGGAATGCTCATGGCGTGTGACCGAGCCAACAGCCGAATGGTTTTGTTCCGTTTCGGGGAGGAGTGTACGTTTTTTATGGGCGCTGTTTTTGTTAGAAGGGTTCAAAGGGGTTAGAAGTGAGATAGGAACTGTTTTAGCTGTATCTGAAGATGCAGTCATCACCGACGATGTATTTGATCGAATGATGGGCGAAAGCGGTGTTGAGAACGAAGTACGACGATTGAAGGAAAGAGCTCGAAGGCGTTTATGAGATCAACTGCCTTCGTATGTCATTTTCAAAATATCTGTTCCTGCGGTTTTCCACGTTGCTTTATAAAAACGGGTTCTCATGCTCTCATTTCTCTTTGCAAACACGGCCATTTTTGATCGTTTATATTCTTGCTCAAGTTAGGGCATATTGAAGTGGGTTCAAGTGAGTAGGCAAAAATAGCGTCACATGCTTGCATCATTTCGTATGCTAAAAGTTCTGGAAATCGCATATTTGTAGGGCTGATCGATTAAGACTTTCTGATTTTCTGATCGATTAAAACTTTCTGATTTTCCGGCTAATCGCGATGTATGAGTGTGGTGTCTGAAGATGTGGCTCATCTTGTTTACCACGGCGGGGCTGCCATGAGTGCAGACATGTGGCTCATTTTGTTCACCGCGGCGGGGCTGTCATAACTGCAGACATGGTAACATACATGGCATCAGATAGCATCAAGAGCATTAAAAGGAGCCGTGACGTCAGTTTCTCAGGCTTTCTCCGTGTGCGTCACAGAGTCTACAATTTAAAGTAGGTTTAGTTCGGGGAATATGAAGAGTGACTGCATTAGCGTACCTAGGTAATAGCTGTGTGCTTCATACAGATGAACCCATCGATGTGCCTTGAATTTCGATTTACAAAAATTAAACGTTGTTTCTGAATGAATACCGAAGTTCTCTTTCCTGGATCTGACAACCGCTGTGGAGGTATTGTGCAATGATTTAGTGTTATGTGATTACTACTCCTAATAATATTCCCTCATGATTAATCAAATTATTTATTCTTTGTAAGCCTAATTCTTAATATTAATCATTTGAAATTTTTTTGCATTAAGTTAAGACCGTTTCTACTTGCATGTTCCATGTTGAAGGTAGCATATTCATTTAGCATAATTTGCCACTACTGTCTCTTAATCTAGCTAAGACACCCGTATCTGTAACAAGTGCTTGTATGTGCTAATAGAACCATATACTTACGTGCTGTGATCACTTGCAGTGGTGGAAGCTCAAGTCAGGCGAGATAGCGGTAAGTAGCGCATAGCCACTTCTCAATCTCACAGTAGCTAGTCGCGATTTCTAATGAACTTAAGGTCCAGATTCCACACACTTTCGAAAGGGCTGCCATTTTCTTGTGCCCTACTGGTCCAGGAGCCGGATGGCGCAGTCGCGACTATCGTAGAGCACTGAAATCATTCCCCACGCCAAGTTGAGTGATTACACCAGCTGGTTTCACCGTGTGTCAGGATCTGCAATGCGACAGGCAGTGTTCGCGCCGAAAAGTACACGGGATCCCCAGAGAGACAGTACGCATGTGAAACCCTCGAGCGCCATTTGCTAGTTAAGTCGAGTCTAGAGCCCTTCTTGTGCGAGCAAGAAACAAAGTGATTGTTACATCTTTCAAGAAGAAGCTTTTACCAAAAATTTTATATGGCGGACAATCACATTCCGACCCTTATGAAGGGACATGAAGTCATTGAGAATACCAAGACACGTGCTCCCGAGCCGTGATAGGTTTTGATTCTGGGAAGATCCGAAAGCTGATATTGGTTTGTGCCATTAATGGCTCCCCAACACTGGCTTACGAAATCTGCGGGACCAAAAACTCTAATCTTTCACTCGTGGCCCCCTGTCATGGCATCTTCTCCTGGGCACATTTGTCTCCTCTTGCGAACCAAATGCCTCTAGCGAATGAGAAAAGTGTTCACCGGCGCATCCATGTGTGGATGCAGTGTTTAGCCGAAGGCTACGCGAGCGAAATCGATATTAGATGTTTTACAGTGTTCTGCGTGCCAGCGCGGTATGCTAAGACATAGGCATGAAGACAGACGAGCTCACACCACCATAGCTGATGTTTGCACCAGCACGGGCGGTAGCAGACGGTCGACGGGAATTCCTCAAACAAATAGGTACATGTTAATGGAGTACGATAGACAAATACCATTGTGGCCGTTTGTATGGCGTAGCGAGTGTAAAGGAAGGCCCAGACAACAACAAGAGAGCCCTAAACAGGCACTCATGAACAATTTTTGCCCTGCCGTATGCAGTAAGCTGAGTCTAATTGAAAGATCACCACCTCCACAAAGGTGGTAAGATACCTTGCAAACTATGAACAAAGATTGTAACCTCAACCCGAAAAGTGTTCCTTGGGCTCAGAGTGTAAGTATCATGTATTCCTTCAGCTAAACAGGCCAGTGACCGGTAAGTATGTGCCGCGTTGCGTAGCAAGCCGTGATAAGGCATTGGCACTGTATGCTTTCTGACAGGACTCGTTGTTGGCAGCCTTAAGACCTCATGCGAGTATCCCCTCGAATTTGAAGATTGTAGCTCCGCTCCATGTGAGGAATTTTGTCGTCGATGAAAACGATGCCCGCGCGCAATCGCCATTTTCGGCCCTCGACACCAGCTCTTTGAACTTTTTGTCTCTGCTGTGCTCCTCCCGTTGGACTGAGCAGTGGTACTTATGTAAATTATAAGGGACTGTGAACAGTTGTTATTAGGAACCACTCTTTACATGCTAAGTGTTTAGAAACTCCAGCGTTCTTGGTCACCTTTCTCGAGCCAACCCAGCGTATTGTCATCGTTTCGCTTCTTCATGTTTTTCCTGGAGATCCAAGATGTCAGAACATGTGGGGCGGCCACGCGACAGAAACTACTTCCTATTGGTCTTGTCTTTAGTCACGGTAGACTGCGAACGGTTGAAATTTATGAAAGAAAAAGCGAGGAATGGACATATACAAATCTGGAGATGTCCCAACCTAGCTGTGTGAGAGTTTGGTCACTTTTGTTGACAAATTTGGCGCACCATGATATGCGAGCCAAACGGTAAGCCGTGGGATTTTGCATGGTCGTTGACAAGAGGATAGAGGATTGGACGGTCTGCCAGTCTCAGAAGAAAGGTTGTAAACACCTGCAGAATTTGAGTTTAACACATTGACGACAACGCGGGGGATATGTATCCCGCGCATTGCAGGCCATGATCGACCAGTAGCGGGATATATACAGGGGGGGCCAAAAAAAAAGACATTTTGCCTCCACTTCCAGATGGATTTAAGCACATTTTACTCAACTCAGACCGAAACGGTTCCAACTTATTATTAAAGAGTGCATTCCATTCTATAAGAAAATCTTCATAGTGGCCACGTACGTGGACGGCATCAGAAGAATTAGCCCTGGAAACATGGTGCACTGGTCGATCTCAATGGGGTCTTCGAAGGATCGTGTACCATAACGACCCTTACTGGAAAGCTAGTTCCGAGGGGATTTGCACAGTGGTAGCTAATGCCTCTAGAAAACTATCCAACATTAAATCGATTCACGAAATTGCGTAAGAGCTTCAGGCTGAAGCTCTTACGGTAGACCTCCTTGAGCCTGACGACGGTGACAGATGACGTCATATTCTGAAGACGGTGAGGGCAGTGAAGGAGAGCCTGCGTACACTAATAGAGGAACACTTAGGGAATACTCTGCTGAGGAACTCCCGTCAACGACAGCAATCTCTGCGAAGAAAAAAGAGCCGAAGTCCGACATAGGCAAAATGTCTTTTTTTTTTGGCCCCCCCCCTGTATATCCCATTACACTCATTTTTTGCTCACGCGCTTTATGCTTGATTCTCTCAGAAGTTTCTTGTATTCATTTTACGGAAGAGACCTTGACGTAGCTTCGGGAACATAGTGGAAATTAGAATGGTCACGTATACTTAAATTTGGAGGAGGATTTCTGAAGCATACGAAACCTTCATTCAAATTCAAATTCAAATTTATTACAATGCTAACATACATGTAATAGAGTGAAACAACAGAAAAATAAATCTCAAGGTACCAAAAGAAACAACAGCTAAAGGCATAGCGAAAAATATAACATGAATACCAACTTAGCAGTAACAAAGTATTAATTAGCGAGACAAAGATAACGATCTAACAGCTTTTCGAAACCTGTAAGAGAACCACGGCACAGTATTCTTTTTGCTTATTGAGAAATCAGACCCAGCCCTAAAGATGCAGAAGTTTCTTCTCATGGAAGAACATGGTCGACGAAGAAAAATCTCGAGTGATCGACCTTGTTGAGGACGGATATAATTTAAAGAAATCTCCAGATTTAAGATCAACTAACCCATGGAGAATCTTG